CGTTCTCTTTGTTAGTTCTTCTCTAAATAACAGTGATAGACACAAGTGTACAATGAATTACATATATGTATGTAAAAAAATCATTAAACACTTTTGAACAATCATGGATACAAAGATTTTGCTAAACTTTTAGACAAGATTTTCGTTTGTGAATTCATTATTGGAGAAAAGAATTATTTTCAATTTGGTGTTGTAATATTATCATGACGCAGTGTATATGAAATTATTAAATATCTATTTTTTTTTTCGAGACAATTTTTTGTTACTCTTAAATATTTTAAATTTCTAAAAGTTTATTAGTTAATGAGTTAATAAATGCAAACAATAAAAACAATTTAATTCTATTCATACTCATAAATGAAGTTTCCTTTGCATGCAACAAACAATAACGTCTAATTATTCTTTCTTCTTGCGCTCAATCATATATATAGCAACTTTTGGACCTCTATTAGCGGAAAATCTCTAACATTGTTGGGCGTTCGTGGGTGATTGCATAGTGTACAAAAGTTCTTTCTACTTACATGTATACATAAACCTATTGATTTTTCTTTAGATCAATGAAGAATATGTTGCTCGGCTTAATCTAGCTGATTGTCATTTTTCATTTGAATCAAATATTGAACTTGATCAACCTGCATGGGTAGCTCCTGAAGGTAAATTCTATTTTTGAGAAGAAAAAAAAAAATCTTAATTATGTATTTTATTTTAGTATTAGAAAATGGAATTTTTACAAATGCGTCAGATATTTGGTCATTTGCTATTCTTCTCTGGGAATTATTTGCATGTCGTATACCATTTGATGATCTAACACCAATGCAATGTGGTTTAAAAGTATATTTAAGCATAAAATTTTTTCTTTCAATGAAATTCAATGGATTTTATTTGAATAGATTGTTCATGAACATCTCCGTTTACCAGCAACTGGTATTTCATCTCATATTGATAAACTTATTCAAATATGTACACATGATGATCCAACAAAACGGCCATCATTTGAAGCAATTTTACCAATCATAGAAAAAATTCATTTCTAATCTTTGCTTTTTTTCTCTTATGTCAATTCTCTTTGCATGATTTTAGTCACAGATAGATATTGTTATCAGATATGTCACTGTTTTTTAAGTGAATTTTATTTATTAATCAAACACAAACAATATTAAATTACATGAAAAAAAAGAATTCTCTTGTGTTTAGTTCTTTTCTTCTTTTTACTTATAGACATCCTACAAGTAAGATTTGTTCGTTGTGTATTTTTCTTTTTGCTTTTGAATGCATTTGGGAACAATGTATCAATTAGGTTCTCATGATCATGTTTAATAAAATGAGGATTGATAACAAAGAAATATTTTTTAAAATAACGTTGAATAGAAAAGTCGAATTCGGCATACAAATGCCAGTGGTAAACTATATTCGAGATATTTTTCAATCGCTTAGTGAAATTAGTGCAGTATAAAATCAACAGAGTTCTTGATGTTTGTCAATATGAGCCACTATCAAATATTTAGACTCCAACAACTTCATGAAGGAGATTTTCAAGACCGTGTTGAAGCTGTCAAACTTTTATATCAATGTTAGATAACATTAGCAACCAGGAGACGTCGTTTTTTTATCGACAAAGACACTTTTCATTCAAATGGTTTGCCGATAATCATATAGTAAAAACGTTAAATATTTTGAAAAAAGATAGGTTTATATATTTCAAATGATAGTAATTATTTTTGAATGTCTTTTACTGTAAATTTTTTTAAGTGCTCTAAGATCACTTTTCATCTCTTACGATTTCTGTGAACAGATTAACTTTTCAAAAAATCATTTATATGAAGTATGGCCCTTGCAAACTTCATACTTCGAAAAACACGAAGATAGAAGTCCAGATTTTTTAAAAATAATTGTCTAAATCTCATTGATATCTGCATACAATTAAAAAACCACATGCTCGAGACATTGCCTCGTCACTAGACTGACATTGAAATTCTTATTCCTAAAGAAATTTCTTTTTATTTGCACAGTATGCTTGTTCTACATGTGATGCACCAAGAAAATCACTCTTATCAATATTAGGAAATACATATCAATTGATTCACTTTATCTATACTTCTATTATGTTCATCGTTTGTTTCACTTCATTCTATTTTATTACTATTCAAAAACAATTGAGATTTTTTTCCAACAGACACATTTGAAAATTGTCAACGAAAATACGTTCTTTAAGAAACATGTAATCGGCTTAAAAATAAACATGATGTACGTATAATCATTTTAAATGATTCTTATGAATGCATCTTATAAAAGTAAACAGTTACTTCAATACTTTTAGAATATAAAATTATCATTTGTTTTCTTCTGAAGATGCGTGTTGATAGATTTGGTTCTGATTATTATAGAAGATTTTAAAAAAAGCTCGAAAAACCGGAAATCTAGTTCCTGAAAGCTACTCTCACTTTCACATCCACAAACTCAAAATACAGGTAGGGATGTGACAAGTTGGTTTGTTTGTTCATTACACAAAAAGGAAGCATATACTCGTCATTATGTGTTCACATTCTGCACTAATGAGTCTTCTCACAGAAATGAAGCGAATAGCGTCTGTTGGAAAAAACTCACTATGCTGCTAAATAAGCAATTAGCTTATTTATTTTCTGTTGAGTATTCATTTTTCTATAATAGCAGCGGAAAACGAAGAAAAAAATGCGCCAGGACGTGTTGTAGTAAGTATAGCAATACTCATTTTGCTGAAAAGCAATGAATAGTTCTTGATTATTTAATCCTATCTTTATAAGTCTACCCTAAGAAGAGTTTGAATCAAAGCATTCTTCTAGTGCACAGATCAGTAAATGACTTAAAGATATAAAATTCCTCATTTGATTATGTTGTATAACATTACCGGTATCTAAGAACGTGAATTATTGAGAGTACTGATTTCGTTATCTCTAAAGAAATCAATTGTCTGCTATGTAATTGTTAAAACCAGTTTGATATCAAATGCATATAATCAAATATATTTTGCAGCAGCTGAAGAATTATATGTTTAATACCAGTAGCAGAAATTAATCGTGATATATGAGATTTACTAGCTATCATGGATTAGCAAGGCATGAGATGCACGATATACACTTAGATTTGCGAGTGCATCGAGATCAAAGTGTAATAAGAGTTTCGAGACTTATTTTGCGTCTTTCTTGCGTTTTTCGGCAAAAAACCGACAACAGTACTAATAGATAGTAATGAGATTTGTACCTTTTATTGAGAAACAGAATATAATAAATATATTATCTTGTTTATTTCTAGAATCATTACTGCACATAGCCCATTATTTCTCAATTGTAGTCTCTAATAGAAGTAAGAAACATTGACCAAAGGATATATACATAGTCAGAGTCATGATCTGCACTATAGTTCATCACAAACGCCTACTTAGATTCTTGATACAAGAAATAATAAAATACAGCTAGCAAATAGATCATGCTGTCCGAGGCTGAGTGGTATGCGATCGTCAGATTATGCTATGCACAATCATCTTTCAAAAAAAATCCTACGAAATACGATCGATCATTCATATTTTAGAATATCTCTAATTATGTAAGCCGTTTACCTGTTCTGTCTATTTTCTAACTTCATCAATAAGAATTTCGAGAGTATAAGAAACCAAGATCAAAGTTTTATTTACCTCCCATTGCTAGTCAAAATCGAAAAATATTGATGAATGCCATAAATAATAAAACTTTGGAGTGCAAGTCTTCTTTCAACCTTGGCATACTAACACATAAATGCACAACCGCACCGATGCCTAAGATTCTTTCTGCAAAGAAGCCATTTTTATTAAAATTTATGTTTGCATGAAAGTTACAGGCGAATTTCTGAGTGGATTAGTTAAGCATCATATGAATGTACGAATAAAAAAAGACTTCTACGTTCTATTGTAATTTGTTCGATCAACAGAAACCATTTATTCTTCTCGTAAATTAAAAGCCAAGAAAATGATAGAAAATGTCAATCAAGATGAATCGACATCGAGTTAGAGAAGAAATATGATGGTATATTATCGATAATTTATTTCATTCCTTTTCTTCATTTTTTGACTGTTAAAAAAGGAATATTTGAATAGTCGTTTCTTTTTCACACAGAACAGAACAACGTGATTTTATTTCATTGTTGTGACAAGGTAAGCAATCATGATGTAACTTTTTTTATATCAAGAGTGGTCACGTCTTCGACGTATTATAGTATATTCTTTAAGGTCTCTCCCTCTCTTGAAAAAGTCAATTTGAGTCAAACAAATGATTTTTGAGATAACTATACGAGTATGTCGGCTGAAATGTCTAGTTTACAAATATGTAACTATACTATTGAATTTTAAAGATTTTTAATGAGTTTTTAAAAACTTATAGCTGACTGAAGCAATTTTTATTTTTTATATGCTGCAATCACAAGAATTCACGTCAAGGCAATGTTGATAACTGGTGCCACCTATCATCAGTCAGGTAGTGATGAGCACTTGCTTTTGATATATAAAGTTTGCAGGCAGTTATAGCTCAATTTAAAAAAGGATTCAAGAAAAAATCATCTTTAGCATTTTTCTCAAAATTCTTTTTAGTACTCATGATCAAACTTAAAATTTTTTTTTCAAATATAGTGCTCATTATAGAGAGTTGCTGTTTTGTTTGTTTATTAGAGTACTTGCCACTCCTTCGATGGAGAGAAGGAAGTTTTTAAATAGGCTATAATTCTGTAGAAAAACTCTTCTGTTTGGAAAATCTCTGATGAATCTTCAAGATTTTAAATGCTTTAACGCTCTAAAAGACTGAAGCGTGTTACAATAAAAAAAGCCTTTGCTCATCTGGCTAGGTTAAAAGGGACTTTCTTCCGTAAGACAGTATAATATATTGATGTGAAAAATTGTGACAAAAGATTAAAACCATTTCTCTATCTTTCCACGTATATATTTGAACGTGGAAGTACGCGCTACTCACCTTAATGATCTATTTATTTTAGACTCAAAAATGCAAAATCAACGACGTTCACGATCAGTAGGCGATTTAAATAAAGTGTATCGATTTAGTGGTCGAATTTCTCGTTCTCGAGAACGTATTCTGTTCATGATTGCCAATGAACGGGAAAGAGGTACAACGATCAAGAAGAATCAAAGTATTCGAATGGAAAATCTACGAGTGCGAATGAGTAGAATGACACTGAGACGACATAATGAAATTATGAAAGTTTATTCAAATTTGGCCCTAAGAAAACACATCCCACCAAAGTCTAAGCGTCGACCACGTCCAGGAACAGCTCCTCAATTACAACTACCATCACGAAATCGATCAGTCACACCATCTCCACCATTATTATTCTCGAAGCCGAAACCAACTCCTCGACCTCCATCACCTAAGTTACCTCTCAAAGTCACCAAAATTGATATCAAAGATGATAAAGTCATCATTGAGATGCAACCAACATCACATGAATTTGATCATAAGACAAATGACAAGAAAGACAAAATCGAAGAGGATGACATCATTTATCCAGAAGATATTTTAGATCGTCGTCCGTACATAATTATCGCTCGCTATCGACGAGCTGTGGAAAGATCAACCAACACTGAACGAAAAAAGGGTATGATACGGAACTTCAAGAACTGAAACGAAATCGAAGTCCTTCTTAGGTACCATGTATATCTGAAAAATCTAAAAAGCTCCTGTAGTATCGTACAATCTCTGCAACGTTTTAGAATATTTCTATGCAACTTAAAAGGAGTTTCGAATTTGTATCAACTCTTTAAAACATTTTAAAGTTCTGAACCGTACCTATTTCTTTTTAGTGAACTTTCGTCTGGAACCTCTGCTCGTTGGTGAAAAAGAAACAGAAACACTTATACTTGGTTTAGATAGTTTGGCAGAAGAACATGGTTGTGAGTTAACATTCACTGATGATGATCATCAATTCGATAATAGTATCTATCGTGCAGCATGCGGTGTAGTCGATTTGGGTAGTATTCATATGTTGGCTACGGATTCTTTGCTGACAGCCAACTTTGAATTCGATATTGATGTTGACTTTGACCAGGATATTGTCCGATCGAAGGAGAACATTGAAGAATTTGTTATGGATTTTTGTAAATCGATCTCAACGGTGTTGTCATGTGATACAAACAATATTCGTATATTCTCAATAAATCGAATAGACAAAGAACAAAGAGAATGTAAAGTGAAGTTTGGTTTGACATCACCAGAGTGGAAGAGAACTGAACAACTTGCTCAAGATTTACAGGTATGAAGATGACAGAAATCTTCAATCTAATCTAGAGTATCTCTATGAGAAAAAAATCATCAGAAGTGGTAAAAATAGCATTCATGAGATAAGTTTAGGCACCAGTTCTTATATGTATAAGAAGCATAGCTTACGAGGGCTGACAGAAAGCATCATTCTCCAAAATCTCTTAAATTCATATTTTAAATAGATGATATTGTATTCTAAAACATTGAGTGACTTTTTTTTCTGGAGAGTGTCATTGCACTATCACATTCGATGAAAAGCTATAGTGAAGCTACACAGTTGAAATTTTGTTTATAATAAGTGTTGAATAGCTCTTTTCTATATCACTATCGTAGACTTATGCTCTCTCTGGTTTTCCAAATGACACAGTTCTTCGACATGTTAGATCAAGAGAATATGAATATACATGGAAACCAACACTCAAATTCTTGAAGCTACAACCAAGTGATCTCGCACCAGAACACAATTTCGACTACAGAGAACCTGGTGTAGTGGAAGAAGACACACGCGGAGGTTATCCCTATTACTTGCCAATTGGCTGGTATCGTCATGCTCTTCGGGTCCTCGATAAGTATGAGAAAGATCCCACTTGGATTGGTCGTACGAATGCGAAAGGTGAATGGGCTGTTGCTTATCATGGAACGAATGCTAATGCAGTGACTGGCATTGTAAAACATGGTCTACTAATTAGTGCTATCAAGCGTGATGTGATGCGAGATGAAGCCATTGAACAAGGAGGAGAAGATGCCGATCGCCCAGGAGTGTATGTGGCAACACATTGTGAAGGCGGAGCATATCCTCAATATACTTTACCTTTTACAGTGTCAGTATCTTCATCCAAGTCCGAACGATTCAGTTTGGTTTGTCAATGTCGTGTGAAAACTGAGAAGTTCACCATTCACGAAACTCCTGTTAACACAGGCAAAGCGTGGCGTTTTGTGGATTCAAGTTCTGTACGACCCTATGGAATCTTGTTGAAGAAGGAAGATTAATCGTAATCAAATATATAACTGTTGACTATAAATTGTAGTTGCACTATTTTGAGCTCATTAATTGCTTTTGTACCGTATTTTGTTGTAATATTTCACACGAAGTGCTCTTCTCCATATTAAATTGGATTTTATTTCTTATGTAGTTTTTCTAGACAATTTAGATAACATCAGCGGCACTAGTACAATTCGTCGCATATAAACGAGAGGATACATTGATTGAATTAAGTGATTTAGGTTAGTATGTTGTTTAATTAATCACCCTAAAAATGTTTTCCATTAGAGTTTAATGACTTTTTCTTGATAATAGTTTTTCTCATAAAAAATGATAGGGGTGTCAATTTACAATTTATTTAACCTAAATTTAAATTAAATTTGAATTTAGGCTGATTTAAAATTTTAAAAAATTTAAATTTTAATCTAATAAATTGTTTTAATCCGCGTTAGTCATCGGTATTTGGAAAATACATGATTTAAGCAGTAATACATGAGAAGTAAGAGAAAAATCTAGTATTTATATAAGTTCAACAAATGCTCATAAATATGAACATTTCTGAACAAATCATACATGATTTCTGAACTTCAATCTTTCATATAATAAAGACGCTCAAACATTAAAATTTGTTAGCATAATTCATAGAGGAACGCCTATTCTTATTTCTAGAAAACACGAAAAAAAATTTGACTTGTAACATCTTCAATAAAGTCAAAATCGATCTGAGTCACCCTTTCCTAAAATTTCCCCACTTTAAATTCAAAAAACTTAACTTGAGTTTAACTTTTCATTTAAAAGAAATTTTTTTGTTTAATCTAAATTTTCAAGAAATTTATGTCTTCATGTAATATTTTTTTAAAATTTAAATATGCTACCTCTAAATAATGATATCCTAAGAACACTCTAATGTTATAAAATTTAGTACGATTATTTTTATTTAATGGTCGCATCAGCGAAAATCTAAAACTCACTTCGAAAATTTTCAAAGCCACTTCATCCAGTGATCGAGCAGCTTTGAAAATCACAGAAAATAGTCGCAAAAAATACTGAATGAGTCGTACACTTCAAATAGCAGCGAATTTTGCCTTTATTTCTTGTTGTTTTTCTTAGCTGAAGATTTCTTCAGAAGTCGTCTCCTGAAAGAAATTGAGTCTCATTTGGTAGCAGACTTTTTGCACTTTAACAGAAGAATTTTGTAAGCAAGTTTTTCAAAATTAAATTATTTGTTTCTTCGAAGTGCGTCTTCTGTTCATCATGCAAATCTAATAATTCCATATTAGAGCATATATTTAAGTGATTAATTAAATAACATACTAAATTACATCACTTAATTTAATTAATGTATCCTCTCGTTTATATGCGACGAATTGATCGGTCACCAAGATCAACACTTCACATCATGATCGTTGTGACGTTGTCACATTAAGTAACCTTCCAAAATTGGGATACTTTATTTTTCAATAATTTGTTGACAGAAGTGCTATTACTGCTTCATTTTTGCATTAACTACTTATAATGAAACACCGAAGTCAAAGAGAATTCGTTGATAAACATAACCCTCTCTCTATATATAATCAAACTTACTTTAGTAACAAAGTTATTTTTTCCCTTGAGCTAATCAGGGTTTTGGAGTTCGAAGATCAATCTGTTTGTCGTGCTAACATCTCCAAAGCCTTGATCGGCGGCAATAACATATCTTGCTCATTATTAATCAAAATGTTTTTAACGACCGAAGCATTATTGTTTTCATTATTGAGCAAAAATGATTCACTACACCAAGGATGCACCTGTCAGAGTTGAGTTGAGAATTCAGTTAAGTTTGGAATGCGTCAACAAAATTAAAAAATAATTGTCAAAAAGCAAAATTTTTCTTATAATAAGAATAAAACTTTATAAATAGTGTGATATACGTAATTCACTTTCACAGGAGCTCACTAAAAAATGCTATATAAATTAAAGTTTGTACTTATAATCAACTTTTGGGATTATAGGGGCATGAGATAATTGGTTGATTTATTATGATTCATTGTATCATTTTGTAAATATTTTTACATTCCAGTTTTTGTATTTACGCTCAAGAAACTTCTTCGTTTTTTCCGGCAAAAACGAATGGAAAACGAGTTTACACTTCTTGAGATGAGGTCTAAAAAGCGACTTCTACTCATGGTTGCTCTTTCCTTCCAAAATATAAATTGATCATTGCTAAAATGCAATCTTGTATTAATAAACTTGATATAAGAAAATGTACCAAGTGGAATAAAGATCAATAAAATTTTTTTGTATTTTTCGATATATATGACAAATTATTATATTCCAATCATTCCATCAATTTCGGTTAATAGCAGTTCAAATAAACATTTCTTCGAAATCGTGCTCTTGTTAATTGAACAAAAATCCATTTGTTTACTCATTATTGCAATCTGGTCTATCATTCAATGTCCACACGCTCTGATCATCAAAAAATACAGGATGTGGGTGTGAATGTGGATGTGGGTGTGGGTGTGGATGTGGGTGGGTGTGGGTGTGGATGTGTGTGTGTGTGCGTGTGGGTGTTTGCGTGTGGGTGTGTCGAATGTGGGTGGTGATATTTGTCTTCTGTCAACACCCCCCCCCCCCACACACACTCATTCGGAAGAAGCAAAATGAACACGACAGGCTTTTGCGGAGCCTTCTAGTAAAAGAATAATGCCCTCATTGCATCATATTAAATTACTCATGAAGACGGAACCGAGTTTGTTGGATACTCATGTGTTTTTCTTTTACTTTCTTCCTCTGAAATTTGATGCATCCTAGGTAGAACAAGACAAACAGTCAAAGAGTGGTCTACTTCCTTAACTGCTGGTAGTCGTTTTTTTCTACCTTCAATTAGGTGAAAACGTCACATCCTACTCGATACTTTTTCTCATTTCTTTTTTATATTTTCATGATACGAGTACATCTTTTCACTTTACAGTGGTATGTTTTATTGCACTTCTGTTTCAACGTTTTGGAACTCTATAGGTAGTCGCAAAATCGAAAAATTATGCTCGTCTTTGGTTTCTTTTAGTAATAACTTCCGAGCGCAAGAATCAACTATGCAGAAATAATGCATATACTACGCTGCATGAGCAATTATGCCTTAGGAAATACACGTTTAAGCTTCCTTTTGATATCAGCTGAGAGCCAGCGAAATAAGTGACTAAAGTTTGTGCTGAAGTTCGGTATAATTAATAAAGTTGGTAACTTGGAAAAATACAGGTAATGTCGTAGTAACCCTTATAAATACGACAAGTGTGCCAATTCTTCAACACGATCAAAGAGTACAATACAAGTACTAAAACTTGCAGTTGATACATTCGCTTGCTGTACCGTCGCTGCTGTTTGACAATTCGACGAGCTATGGATGCGCAAGAAGACAAAGAAATATACAAATTCCTTGTACGTCTCGAAGAAACGTTAAAATTCTTCAATGAAATGGTTGCTGGACACAAACCTGTATTGCCAGTACTGCTGATGAACCAATTGAAACGGATGGAAAAGGAAGGACTTCTACCAGAGCAACCACTTCAATACTGTCATAGCACTTCTTTACTCAGTACTGGCGATACCACATTCGTGACAAACGGGAAGACGCATATCCATCCACTTCCTGTAAAGCTGGTGCTCGAGCACAATAAAGTCTACGAACATCTTCAAGAAGCAGGTATTTCCTTTCGGCGACTATTCGTGCCTGGTGTTCATGGTAGACTAGCTCACGCAAATCCACTATTTCAACAGAGCTTGCCAACGGCAGTGGTTGTTTTGCCTGGTGATGTGCTGACAGCCAAAGTAGTGTTGGACGCTTTGTTGCAAAAACTTACGCGAGAGCTCATATCAATACCAATGATATGGGTAAACACAGGCGGTTACTGGAATAATCTTTTTGAATATCTCGATATTTTCATTTGTGCAAGTCGCCTTGCATCAATTGGCATGACTGCGGTAGTAATTCAGAGAATGTTGTCAATTATTTGTCAACATCGTATGGGGTTTACGAACAGATTGACACACCTCTATCCAACAAAATTGAGAGCGAAGAAATCACGGTGTTTTTTAACACTACTGGTCCCAACAAGATTCGCGATACCCGCCGCATTTGTAAAGCCCTCGGGCTGTGCATTCGAGTATTGCCAATTGCCGTATTGACGGATGGGCCTGTGAAAACTGCTGAGGAGCAAAGTGCTACTTATCAAGGTAATCTTGAAGAAAAATTCAAGACCGCCACTACACGTCTTCATGAATTGGGTGAAGATTTCATCAATTCGAGGCTGTATGAGCTCGGCATTAAACCTACTCAAGCATATGTGTGCGCGCATGATGGAGGTGTTTCTTTGCCATCTCACATCATTGATCATCCACACTTTGACTGTCTTCGTCAGGCGCGCACGCCTCTAAAGTTAGGAGTGGAAACTAAATTTGCACTCCATCAAATGCATGGAGCAAAAGCATTGAACAACGTTATGAACGTTGTGTACGCTGNGTGAATGTGGATCTTCGTTCACACCTCACACCAAACCAAAAAACTCGCTTATATTCACCACATTCACACCCTTTTGAATGTATTTGTGTACTTGCAATTAATTACCCACACAAGTGTTCTAATAGAAGTTAACTATAGTCGAACAGATTTATCGAAAACTTTCTGCACAAGCACATCCCAGAAGACCTTGTGAAACCTCAACAAAGCGACAAAAAGTGGCGCAAACTCAAAGATTCTCAGGCATACAACATATCGTTTTAATACGTTAAAATGTGCGCTTTTTATGCTGAAAAAAAGATAAAAGATCGATTTTTCTTTTTGTAAAAAAGCAAATCCATGGATATCATCATCTTCACACTCGCTCTGTTTTCAAAAGTTTTTTTAAACGAAAAAAGCTCACATTGTACCTCATAAAAACGTGTTTCTTTTATTGATTTTGTCTGATTAAGCTGTAAATAAAATGTTTTAAAAATTGAGCAAATTCAAGAACATGAAAATTTGAATAATATTGCAGAAGATCAGATTCTATCGTTCATCTTTCCGAGAAAATGTAAATTTTTCTCTTTTAACTGGATAGTAATAGTTTTAAGCAATGTTACTTCATTGTCCACCATTTGTGCGTTCAATTATCTTCTTTGAACTTGATCTCGATAGTATTATATCAGTACGATTTAGTGATCAAGGACTGTTCTACGCACAATCGCATCATTTTACTCATGTTTCTGTCACAGTATAATATATGTTCATGTAGGTGAAAATAGTAGTATATCTCAACTAAAATTAATAAGTTATGTTCCTCAATTTGACATTTTCCTTGATTAATTTCATTCCGATATTCTGTCCCAACTGGAAATATTTGGAAATGACAACCTATCAGAATATTCTCTATTATGAACACTACCTTTTCTCTTTCACAATGCTTATCAAATTTTGAACATTGAATATTATTGCTAGCTGTCGGTGTAAAAGGAAGCATTTTTCATATTTATTCAATATTGCGACATACTGCTTATATAAAATCTGATAGAAATCGTTCAAGTTTTGCCACAAATGAATAGTCTGTTGACTGTGTACTCAGTTATTTCAATAACGAATGTGGTCAATATCAGATGCATTGACTACTATGCATCGGTACTTATCTTGATCTTATTTTTAATCGATTTCTACTTTTGGATGATGGCGTGTGTAAGAAGAGAAAATAAACACAACAATCAATAATATTGGATTTCATCATTGGATTCTAGTTATTTTATAGGATATTCATCTGAATTATGCTGAACAACTTCTTTGTCAAAGTGGTCTTCCATGTTTAATTGAACTTGTCATTCGTAATAATGCACCATGGGCAATAATTGATCCAAATCAACAACAAGTTAGAGAGGAATGTTCAAAAGTTGAAATACGTCAAGTTGTTGTACCATGGACTGAACTAACAAGTGTTCATTTAAAATTTTCCCACATATACATAGCACAATTGTTGACAAGAATCAAAATAAAACGGATAGATTATAGATGTATCTAATGATTTATTAATAAACTTCTTATTATTAGAGATCAATACAAAATAATTAATATTATGATCGAATGGTCAATAGAAGAAAGAATAACGGCGACAAATGTGCTTTTCAGGAAAATTAGTATTTCTCGACGAGTGCTCATCCAATCATCGCAAGAATTTGAGAACATATACAACTTATGGTCCTCTGTCAAAATATAGCAAACTCAATTTACAACTTTAAAATTCAAAAATTTTCCGACACTTCATACCGGCTGGAGATCTAAAAAGATATATAACTTGTGAATGCTATAACTCTGTCAGAGCAAATCTTTCGCTCAAGAAAATTTCAGGTGGTACATAGTTTCACTTGTTCTGCAAAATGGTCGAAAAACATTGGTATCCTGAAGAGGAGATCCAGCCTCCACTCAGCACCAATATTGTCCAACCTCAAAGAAACGGCGAGATAAAGGGCCATTTTCGACACTTTAATTATGTAATTTTATAAGCCTATAGTGTATGTATTTTATATAAAAAATCAGAAACAAAGCATTAATAGAACAAGAGAAATATGAATTTCAATCTTGTCCGAAAAATTTTCGATCAGCCGTTATTGAAAAATAAAGGATTGGAATAACAAATTTTCAGTGCTTATATATGAAAATTTTCGAACTAAATGAGGTAAGAGTGTGGGTGTTTGTGAAATTCTGCCCTTCATTTCATTCCATTCTCTATAGTGGCAAATTTCGGCAAAAAAAAATAAGTAGCAAATAAAGTTTTTCCTTTTATGTTTATTCAATTTTGATGCTTAATAATTTATTGGAAAGTATGTATAGAACTGCATAAGATACTCTTTTAAAATAGTATTTCATGTTGAAAAATTGGATCAGCTTATCCCAATGTATACGTCAGTCATACACATGGCTCTTTGTACTGTTGCATTTCCACATCAAAGATGACACGAAAAATTTATTGCAACATTCCACATGTTTGTATTCTTGGAAGATGCCATAGCTATTTGACGCGGATAAATGACGAGAAGACCAACATCGTCACACCTATCCTCATAGTAAGTGCGAGTATAGATGCAGATGTGCGTGTTGTGCTTGTTTTTGCCCACTCACATCCGAAACAAAACAAGAAAGAATAGTAAAATGGAATGTTTATCTATCATATCTTCAAACTGACGTTTCATTTTTGTACTTTGCTTGTTGATATTTCTTCGAGCTGCTATCTGTCAACTTATATGTTTACCTACTGAACGACTGCTTCGTAATGAGTAAGTTGCTGTTAAATTTAATCTTCTATTTTCTTCGTCTTTTTCTGATTTCAGAATACTTATGTTCGTGATACATTCACCTAATCCACTGCGCATAAGATTAACTTTAAAGAATACATTTCATCCTTTAACTGTGATAAATTCAAGTAAAACATTAGAACTAAATGTCATGAGATCTAATTTCTCTTCAGCATAAGTCGAATATTGAATCGTTTTACAAGCGATGCCGCTGCAATGAATGATTCTCTACCAATTACAAGGTTCGAAATCCTTGTTGTCAATTTTGTAAGTTTGTAGTCTATCTAAATATAGACATTACACATTTGCTTCATGTTTATCTCAAGTTTTGATTACAATTATTTTCGTTGGATTATTCAATTCATGGTCATTTATTTCAGCAATCATAGTTGCAAACGACATATTCTCTTAGGAATATCAATTTGATTCAGATTTCAAGTGAATCGATTTTATTATGCTGAAAAATATGTTTCAAAGAATTTCTTCATTATCTCGATAACAGTACAAAGGTTAATTATTTGATTTCAACATGAAATAGATGTTCAGTGATATATTTCAATTGAATATTTCGAATATTTATAGCTTTGGTTACTGTATTTACCATAATTGTTAGTGTAAGTCAATGTCTATTTTTAGCTGTAGACATTATTCTTACACTCATTCATAGTCCCAATCTAACAGATTTTGTTCAATGGATCATTGGGTTACATTTTGAAAATGTTTTCATGCCTCATTCGAAAGAATTACATCCATTATTAGCTCTTCATCTTCTTTCATCAACAATCGAAGCTGATAAAAAGCAAACTGTTGTTGTTGAAAGAACTTTTGCTGGTAAAAGTTCATTCATTGAATATATTAACATAGAAATTGTTGAATTAGATTATGTTCAACATTGTATTTCAATTATTCCATAATATGATGACTTATGAAGAAAAAATTTTCAATGACTATTCGTTTTTGAGTTTGAACTCAGTACATCATGCAGATTGCAATGTATTTCAACTTTAAATTTTGTACACAGATGAGCCTACTTGTAATTCTGCTATTTTTCGTGTGCTGTTTGGAAGTTCAATATCTTGTGAACAAATCATCTTTTCAACTGAAATTTTCAGCACATTCCATTTACAAGTAGACTTATCTGCGTATAAAATTTCAGATTGACATACGGTTACACGACTTTTTGACACATTTTTTGTGCCACAGGCTAAAATTCTGGGAGAAAAAATCCCAATCTGGGCTTGCTCGTTTGTTCAGAATTTATATTATTGTGCCGTACAGAATGGTATTGATTTCGTACACCGAAAAAAAACTATTCATCTTCTTGTGTTGAGATGATCATTTTCTTCTTGAGATTCAGTGTCGTCAACGTTTTTAGTTTTGTTACTTTAACTACAAACTGTATCATTGATCGTCAGTCAACAAAAAAAAAAGAAACTTTTACGGTTGTGATTTTTTTTACTTAAATCAATGCTTGCCTTTTTTTTCGAAAATAGTGGTTTACCTTGTCGAAGTTTTAAAATATCGAATGCTGCATTGCCCCATATAAAAGAATTACACTATATATAGAAAATGTAATAAAATTTCGAAATATTTTTCATTTATCATCAATAGCAAATGGTTGTTTAAGAATAATAAGTTAGAAAATTTTTTTTTTCTTTTGAATATGACTATATAGAAGAACTTGAGACCTGTTACATTTTCGTCAATTATTTCAACTCTCTAATTTTTAAGTGATTTAAGCTTAGAAAAGACTTTAACAATCATTCGTAGAATTTCTTTACCAAAAAATAAATGCACCGTTACACTTTTTAGCTTTGCATGTGGCGCTGCTTATTGTTTGCTGAATACATTCAACGAATCGGCGTTAACATAAATAATCTAGTCGATTTCGGTATAACTGTCGACATTACTTGTTTTTGTTTTTATATTCACTATTCTTAATTATTTCATAGATATATTTTTGACATGGCCGAACCATCACGTGTTACTTTTAAACTTGGCGGTATCAAACGACCTGCTCTTAATAATCTTGCATCATCATCTATTCAATTTGAGTCATCCACAACAAATAATAATGATGAACCAGAAATCGTCACCGGTTTTGATAATGGTACAATTAAAAGTAGTACACCAACTGTTAGCAAAAAAGAACTTGTTATTGCTGCTCAACCAAATGCTCATCATAAATTTTTTAAACTTAAAACAAATCAAAATAAAACAGCTGTGTCAAATACAACATCATCAAATGAAACGGTCAATTCCTTAGACGATGATGCAAGACGTGCACTTATTCGTGAAGCTCAAGAAGCTAATGAAACTTGGAATGAACGAAATGAAAATGGAACTATTCATGTACATACTATTGAACAAGATTCTGTTAATACATTTATGAATAATATTACTAGTGATGAAAATATAATTGAAGAAAAAGAAATTGAAAATGCTGATTATGAACAAGTACCTATTGAAGAATTTGGTATGGCTGTTCTACGTGGTATGGGTTATAAAGAAGATGCTGGTCTTGGTATATCAAATAAAAAACAAGTCAATGTATTTGTACCAGAAACTCGTCCTCGCGGTCTTGGCTTAGGTGCTGATAGAAAAATACTTGAAAAAATTAATAAATTAAAACGTAATTTAAAAAAATCTGGCATTGACGAAAAAGATGATTTATGTTTTGAAAAAGGAGCTTTTGTTCTTATTGAAAAAGGTCCTCATCGTGATCTATATGGTACAATTGAATCAATTGAAGAAGATGTTACACGTATTACTGTTTCATTAGCTATTGGCGGTACAAATAAGAAAAAAGAAACAATAAATATATCACAATATAATGTTAAATTAGTAACTGAAAAAGAATTTCTTAAATATAGTAAATATGTTAATAAATCTAAAGCAGAAAAAGTCGAAAAAGAAACAAGTGATCGATTAATGAAAGATTATTATCAACAAGACAATAATAAAGATTATAAACGACGTCGTTCACCTGTTAAAGATGATGACTATAAACATAATCGTTCATCTAAGAATGATGATTATGATCGAAAACATCATCGTTCATCAAATAATGATAATTATGACCGAAAACATCATCATTCTTCTAATGGACATCGACATGAAGAATCAAGTAAATCTAGAAAACATTAATTATTTTATTGTTACTTGTTTTTTTTCAATATGTATAATAAATATCTACACATATTTTCTTGTTGTGCTGTCTATTTATTAGTTTTTTTTCTATTTATAGATGCTTTCTCAATTGAAAGATTTTAATTATTTGTCTGTATATTCTGAAAGAAAAGATGATGTTCTCTGTGAATTTTCCCTTGCTCGAATGAAATATCTATTGATTTGATTCACGAAGATTTATTATAGAAAATCAGACAGTTAATGAGATTTTCATTTCTTTTGTTCGAATTAATTTCCTTGAGAATAAAATTAGCTTTGTAATTTATTTTGATAAGAGAGAAGATTCTAATATATAAAGCGATTTAAATCCGCGTAGTCTTCAATCAATTATGAGTAAGTTGAACAGATTCGTTTCTCTAGACATCAGCTCTGAAGTCATGACTGTTTTACTTAATTTTTCTCAAATTGAAATTCTTCTCGTTAAAATTTCAATTTAAATAAACACTCTCATTTTGTGATACTAGATTTTCAAAAACACTGATATTTCATTCATTGAATGAAAAACATCTTAGAATAAATCCACGGGTTTTCGACCACTTTGTTTTCGAAAAAAGCTTTTTATCGATTTTATTCGTACTAGTCGAATGATAAGTGATCAGAAAGCAGTTTTCTCACTTTTGTCTGAAATGGCATAGATTTGAAGATTTTTCTTACTGCGTCCAATGAAGGTTTCATCATTGATTTCAAGCTGTTTAGTTCACACATTTCCTGCACATGGAAAACATCGAAAATAGTGGAACCTTCGAATGATTCTTCTTTTTATTTCGATTTGACTAAGATATGATTGTTTCAAAACACAATATGGATGGGTGGGTGTGTAATGCGACTATGAGTCTTTAGTTAATGCACACCCAACCGTACTCACATTCACATTTAGAGCTCTCAAAAACTAATTCATAAAACAAGTGCCTCTATCATATATCCTTAATTTAATAAAATCGTAAATCCTCGGTCGACGATGGTCCGTTGTAGGCTACGTGGAGTGATTCCTAAACAGCTGAAAATCGCTCGAATGATTCTATGTCAATCAAATAAGCTTCAGCAAAGATGCAGTAATCTGTATTTCTTTCGTTCGATGAGAAATCGAGTCAGGCATGAAACCATATGCAGTCGTTGACGAACAACGGAATAAAACTTTCTCGTTTTAATAGGAACCAAAAAATAGTGTGCGAAAATTTTCAATTTTTATGTTCAAGTTAGAAGCTGAGTTTCAAGTACTCAAAGATCACAAATAAACACCAATATCCAATATGAAGAAAGTAACGATTCGCGCTTGTTTTGATGGTTGTCATGAAATCAGAAGATTCTGCCACAGTGGCTGTTGTAGTAGATAATTGTTCAGATGTTGTCAGCGTAAGGGCTTCAATAATCAAATGGTCAATTTGTTGCGAAACATTAGCAATCATCCCGGATAACACCATTGCACCGCTTGTCATCAGTGTTTTTAGTTGAACAAACGTGCTGACATTAGCTTCATTGATCGCTTCGGCAAGCATCATCAGCATAGTGCTATACCCGAACTAAAGTCGAGTGTTCGTATTAATATTAAGAATGATATCAACGTATGATTTTTAACTTACATTTTCCAGTCCCGACGATCGTAGATCGTTGATGCATGCGACATGTGTACTGTCCTGGACGGTACTATTAGGCACCAAACCGAGCCGAAGAATAACATTCTTGCCGCTTATCGTGTACTCTTGACACAATATCTCAGCTAGTTTCTGTACAACTTCGGATCTGTTACTTTCTTGCGTTCCAATTGGTGAGTGACGATGCAACTTTCTGATTTCAGCTTCCCATTCACATGTTGGCGAGGGAGAAACGCATAATCGGTACGATTGTACTACAAGCGCGCTGTCATCCAAATATTGATGTCATACCAAGAAGTCTGCAATGTAAAATCATGTGCAGATAATACTAAGCGAGAACAATATTAAGTTTACCCAAGAAAACTGAAAGACAGAAATACGAATGCCTACCGCCTGGTAGATAATTTCCATTTGCTCAGGTGTCGGTCATGCAATACTAATACCTTTTTATCAAAAGTCGTTCTAAGTCACTGAAATTTTCTTTTAAGACGCTGTGAAAGATCATTCACTATTTGATTCTCCTCTAACGGGCGAATTATTCTCCCATCAGCAGATCAAATGAAGAATTTTACTCTATTCAAGGTACGTAAAAGATTCAACTTTACAAGCCAGAGCTAGGGTGTGAGAGGGATCGGAATACGGGTGTGAGTCTGCGTGCAGCTCTTATCTTCACATTCACACACACAGACACACCCATACCCACATCCACATTTACACTCACACATACACCCTCTATTTACTAGTATTATAAGAATTTTTTTCTTACTAAACGAACTTATTTATTAAGAAAATTTTCAGCTATGTATGTATCAGCCAACGCCAACTACAGAGAGAAAAAGAATAGAAACACAATGAATGAGTGGGGGGGGGGGGCAGTGAAAATAAAGGCGGAAGACAATGCGACAAGAAGGAGGATAATAGGTACATCTCTCCTACATTGATCTAGATTGATGTAGACAAAAAAGATGACGTCAGGCATCTTCTTTCCAACTGCGCATTAGTAAATCTAGAGTGAAGAAAAAAAATGAGAATTTCAATCAATTCTCACGGATGGAAGAGAGAAAGAAAGAGGAGAAAACTATTGACCTAAATATTTTGAAGAGTGGATTGTATACTAAGACGATGTATAGATTGTCCCACATTCATAGATCCTAGGAAGGTTATTTTCACTACGGAAGTTTTGTTATCTGTGGTTGGAATGAACTAGGTTGTGCACCTGGAAGCTTTTCAGTCATATAATAAACATTATACACATTTTTGTCGTAGCCACCTCCCAATGATTGAAATATGTTAGCAGTTGCAGCTGGAAATTTTTTATCCATATAATAAGCAAAATAGGCATTCGTGTCATAGCCATCGTCGAATGATCGGAATAAATTAGTAGTGGTATCTGGAACCTTATTATCCATATAATAAACATGATTCATATTGTTGGCATATCTCGAATCTAAAACACGCATAATAATGTAAGAAGATGTTCTACTAGTTTTTTTTCTCATTGATCTCGCGTGGGACTTGTTTGAAAATAATCAACTTTTTCTGAGAATAACAAGTCTAGATCTATCAAATAAGCAGCATTCATCGGGTTCCAATTCACTAAGCCCTATACTAAAGAAATGAGAATAGTAATCGAAAACGATGTAAGTGGTGTACGGGTGGCACTTTACCTGTACTTTATTAGTAAATAAGTTAATTCTTTACATACGTTTTGCTAGTAAATAGTAAATATTACACTTATTTACTATTATACAGTGAATTCATTTTTGGTTTATTCATTAGAACAAACGTAAATAAATTGAAATGTTCATGGGCAGTCTGTAGTTCATGTTTTCTCGATAAATCAGGAAAACTCGATGAAGAAGTCTTATTGGTCCAAAAGAATTTAACTAGAGATCTCAAGTGAACATCTGAATTACCTTTGCATTTTGGTCCTATCAATAAAGTAAAGTTAATAGAATGGGTGGAATGGTGGATATAGCTGCAATGTGAAAAGAACATCCACGATCATAACCGCAATGTAGTTTTACTTCTCTATCGAATTTCACATTTTAATCTGGTAGGGATTGTAGTAAAAGCGTTTTGTACTGAAAGGAAATTAAATTCTCGGTATTTTTCGAGAATTCTGATCATCACATCGAATAAGCTGATTACTTGTTGCTTGTTCTTGCTTACCAGATTTATATGTTACAATTTGAAATTGTCGTTGCTGAATTTTACTTCTTTTTGTTGTAATTACACTGTTTTTTTGTTTGTTTTGAGTTTCTTGTGTTCTGGTTTGATTTTTTTGTGCTTTAATTCGATTATATTGTGCTCCAATTCGATATCGAAGTGTTATTATTTCATTTTTTTCTGCTTCAATTTGATGGCGAAGTATTCTGATTTGATCATACTGTGCTTCAATCTGATCCTCAAGTGGTCGAATTTGATTTTTGCGCTTTTCTAATTTATTTTTCTGTTTTTCAATTTTAGCTTGCTTTTGGTCAATTTTTTCATAGCACTCATTAATTTCTTCGATTAGTTTTTGATTTGCAACTTCAAGTTTATCAATTTTCAATTGTAGAGGTTCACAAGCGCATGGGACCAGATGATGTTTTATTTGATCTGTTAGATCCTTCCATGGAGAATTTAAACTTGTCGGCGAGCAGGGTACACTAACCTTGAAAAAATAAATGACATATTATTATAATTATGACAAAAATGAAGAAGAAAGAGTGCAGTGGACTATTCACTATCATGCATTTATCTGTTGTTAATAATTGTGAATAGTTAAATATGCATCAATACCAGTAAACTGATCTTATAAATTTTATGATAGTTAATAAAATAGGTGACGAATTTGAAGGTATTTAATAAAAGTATACACTCACTATTCGTTCACGAAATAGGAGGCTCTTCAGCTCTGTACGATGAACAGGTCACATTTCGTAAGTGCCGCAAAAATTACAACAAATACGAATACAAAAATTGAATCGGCTCTTAACCATTAATAAAATATTAACGAATTTTGAACCAACAATTGTACATAGCTGAAAAGTATTTTGTTTTTACAGACTAGCGCTTTCCTCTCTTTTCTGTTAGGCTCAATCATATTGCATTCTCTCGACAACCGAGTTTTACACAACCAAATAAACATGAGGAAATACCTGGGCAAGGTATTGATGGATTTTCATTCATAAGGTATCGAAATATTCAGTCACTAATTGTTTTAATTTTTATTAAATGTACCTTATTATTATTAGACTTGTCTTCGATGTAAATCACATGATCCCAATCGATATGAGCGCTCTGCTCTACATTGATTACAATAGATGACAGATTGACTGATTTTTCGAAATCGCATTGAAGTCGGCGAACTTTTTCACGTAATTGGTCTATGTTTTCTTCCAGAATTGTATCAGGATTAAAGTTTACGGTGAGCTTCTTGGTCAGTTCTGTAAGCCCATCCTTAATGTTCTTCATATTTTGTTCTAATAATAGGTCAACTTCATTTTGCACCTTGAGAGCTGCCTGACGAACTTTCTCAACTGTGGTATCGCGCCACTCTTTTATTTCAGATAAAAGATATTGTTGGCTTATGCTTGACTGATGTGCTTGAGTCACTTGTTCATGAAGCCTATTTCCTTCTTCTCTAATGTCTTCGAACTCTTCAGTCAAAAGTTGCCGATGAATCGTAAGGTCTCTCATGCAGAAGTTGCCTTTACAGCCGGTACATATGTGTATTCCTTCATTGTTACATTTCAAACAGCTACCTAATCCAGTCATCTTTGAAACAGTCTAATAATGAGTTTTTTCTTATGTGTCGATTGTCAAATAATGCAGTTATCGATAGTAATGTCTAAAAGTGTAAGATAACAGTAGATTACGAGTTGTGCGCCAGAATAATTGGTGGTCTGAATATTTCATCAGTCCTTCTTATAGAGGTTCTAAGTAGACAATTCTACATCGAGATTTCGAATCAATTTGTTCGGAAAATCGAAATAAATGATAATGTCAAAGGTATTATACGATATGTTCATTAGTTCTAAACCCTTTTCGCCGAGCACAGTAACGTAGAGCTTTCCCTGAAAGAGTACGTGAAAAGTCTACGATCGATGTTTCCTTATGTAAAACGACGAGTTCTATTCAGCCATGCGAGAAAAGTCGAAAAATAAATCTCACCTGTAATGAAGAGTCATAACAAAATTTTGTCTCATTCGTAGAGATTCACTTCTCGTTAAAAGATTCTAAAAACTTGGTACTGTGGTGCAAGGTAAGAGGGAAACACCACAAGAGAATAAAACGTTGTCATATGTTCGAGTTCTTCATTAAATACGATATAATTTCTCACTTTCGGTAAAAGCTTGTCAGTGCAGTTCAAGATAAGTTCAAAATGTGTCACTCACATAAGAATTCGATGCTAACAAAGCACAAATAGCTAGATTCCGTGTTTTCATATATAGTTCGACTTTTGGACTTACTATATTGAATTTTTATGATCGTATATTGAAAGTCGAAAAGCATAAAATTAAAAAGTCATCAAACGAAATGAAATTGAGAAGTTCGAAGTCTTCACCTATGAAACATTATTATTAATGAATATTGAAGTATAAAGTGAGAAAATTGTCTCTCAGACTCTCAATACGTTCTATAGATCAAGACGGACATGTCGACGTGCTGTCACTAATCGTGTTGAATACGGAGGTCTTCCTATACAATTAGAGTGACTTAATCGTGCTTCAATTGAAATATTTTTCTTTACAAGGTCGAAGAGAATTCTAAAGAACACAATGTCATCCCAGTACTTTGATCAGACGTGCCCGTTATTATTCGTGAATATTTTGTTTGTAACGACACACAAGATATACTCACGTATTGATCTTGTGTAACAATTGGTGAAGTCGAATTGTTTTAGTGTTTGCTTCGATTTACAAATAACGTACTACAGAGAAACTTGTCTGCGTTTTTAATATGCTGCAAAACAGTAAATGATTTTGTTTTGACGTTTACTTGTTAGACTATGTACAATTTATAAATTACTTGTAAAATTATTTTCACTGGTTAATTGCCTATCACACACATGAATAGTTTGTCACTACTTGATTACTTTCTTCAAAGGTAAGTTTGAGAGAAAATTCATTATAAGTGAACCATCATTTTTTTTCATTCCTAGCAAGTTACCAACGAAACGTATTCCTATCAAATCGAAGAAATGTTGGAAGAAAACCGCCATGATAATTTAGAAAGTGAATGACATTAGTACTTATTGCCGATCAGGAAGCATTTTCTAGCACTTACACATGATCGAAAATACTTTCATATACAGTTAAAAAAATTTTTTAAAGCATGTAATGATTCTCACACTGTATTGTTGTCAATAAGTAAGATGCGACTGAATTCTAGAAATCTTGTAAACCTTAAAATCTTTTATCGCTATACAAACTATCGATATATGCTCCCGTATTGAGTTTTTTGTGCATTGATCTTGTTCAATAATTCGTGAGGAAATTAATTGAATCTCAAATTCATGATTCATAGACAATATGCGTTAGTTTTCACGACATTTTGTTCTCTCTAAAACAATCATACTGAAGTGAACAGACGACAAATGGATCATCCGTATCTCTTGTGAATGAGTGGACGTGGTTGTTCGTGTCAATTTTCTCTTCATGTTCACTTATTTACAGATACTCACGCACATCGACAAATCTTGGATGTCTGGGGTGTAGGTTTTGGATCAATGTCATATCTTCGCTCGCATACTCACAGCCACATCCATCATTCTGTAGTACTACGGACTTTGACGAAGAAATGACCGTGAGACACTAAGATGAAGACGAATCGTAAGAGTTTTTCTCTCTTTCATTTACTAGTATTTGTACACAAGGCTTTTTTTTCTGTACCTTGATGTTTTGTGTATTATTTTAGTTACCAATACTGATAGAAAATATTAAATCGATAATTTAGTATCGATTAATTATTCATCGAATTTCCTTCCTTTAAAAAAATATTATTAACGTTGCATCTTTCTGCGGCAATATTGTATATATGTAGATATTCTATATATTTTTACTCTTAAACTTGTTCAATACATCGTGTACAATTGACTTTTCAAGTACTCACTCTTATTTCTAATGACCTACATGCAAAAAATTATCCATGTTAATCACCTTTTATATTTATTTATTGAAATAATGAACAAACACACATCATAGAGGATGGAAATGAACTGAAGACTCATATCCATACCCACAAAGTATAATGGCTTTATTATGCGTCAAAACTAAATTGTATTTCACTTAAGTGGTTTCTTTATTGAGTACAAATTAAGTCGAACATTAATAAATTTTTAAGAAATATTTGGTTCTGTCCACGAGTGTCATTCATAATCCTTAGATATCTTCGTTCATCATAAGATCTTGATTTTTAATCAATTTAGCCAATTCGAAGGCCGATATCAAAGTGAATAGCTACGTACATGATCAGATAGAGACGGAAAGTGAGATGAGAAAACAATAATGCTTACGTCCCAAACTGCATTCAAAACTACGAGACAAATACTAAAACTGGCTGCACTTGATAACTCTATCGGCTGGATGCCATCATAACGACTGAAACGAGCTACCGTAATGTGGAAAATAACAGTCATTATGAATTCAATAATATAACCGACCATAAAACAAATGACACCCGACCAAGCTAACTGAAAATAAAGGAACAAAACTCGTAAGTAAGAGAATGAGTAAAAAACGACTTTATCACAAACAGTTTCAATATATCAAACTCTTGCTGAGATCGTTTCTGTTCAATTAATGACAAAATAAAACTAAAGAAATCGAAAATAAAAATACACTGAAATCTAGTCTATCGTATTTCACAGTCTAAGCTACGAGTTAACTTTTTAGTTGACTTTGATTTAAGATAAATATTTCACTTTCAAATCACGTGGGAATAGAAAGAAACTTACCACCAGCAGTCCAATTCGACAGTAAAAACATGCCATATATAGACCATATAGAGCGTATAAAGTGGAGAGAAGATCTATATTCAAATCAGAATAGTCAATGGGGAAGAAGTAGAAGAAGGACCTACGCAATACAAATCTTATAGTGGTCACTTCATCATTGTTAGTATTCGATTGTTCCATGCAATTAACGACAGCAACAATAGATAGAACCTGTAAAAGAAGCTCTTTGAAGGGATATACACATAATATATGGTTCAAAATTATCCAATTGCTTGCGCATTCTTCTCATAATTTTACCTTTGTCAAATCTCATCTAATCCCAAACTTGGAGAGAAACTATTTGGAAGTATTATATATGTTCAGCAATACTTTTCCGTTCCTATATTGGTCATAGTACCGTGTAAATAGAGTAGATTTAATTTCACAATTAGTCGAATCGTCGAAAAAAAACTTATCGTAAATCTAGAGAATCTCATGAAATACCACTTTTTGGAGAAATATCGTTCGTTTCATTCAGAACTTACCATTCGAATGGACACGAGCACGGTGAATCGTCTAAGAACCCGTTTCATTAGAGTTTCGTTCCTTCCGATTAACGACGGTGACGTTCGCCTGCTCTGTATGATTGACTCTTCATAGTTGGTGACAGTCAGAGCTGGTTCTCGTTCAGAGTGCTGCATTTTGTGAAACACGACCTGCAAGGAGTGTTGAAGTATATAGGATACAAATTTGAACCCTTCTCTCATCGACCATGACAGGCGCCTTAATAACGTCATCCACTCCGTCATAGACTCTGCACGATGTTATTAATATCCGATCAAAGACCGTATACCAATAAGGTCTCGTTCTAATATATGAACTACTTCGTTATTGGGTTTCTACAGGATTAAATAAAAATATGGCGAAGACATGTGTCCTAAAATAGATCGCATACGGCAATTATGCTAACAGCGTTTTTAGCTAGAGTCTGTCGATTTCATATGCTTAAACTAGAAAATGACATTTGCCTCACTCTTGCCTTTTCAACAAGTTATGTGTGTCTATACAAGAAAAATATGAAAAATCATGTTGATATGATCCCAAAACATACGCAGAGTAAAATGAACGTGTAGTACGATGAGAGTGATTGCTAGTTGGCATTCGCAAATTATAAAAAGACAGAAGACTTATCTTTCTCATCATCTTTTTCTCGTAAAAATGATACAACTTAACGTGAGTAAATATTGAATTGTCTGTCACTCTGCTCATTCAGTAAGTTCTCACTGTTTTAGTTGGATAAATGATGATTATGTGCGAGATCACTCTTTTCCTTGTCTAACTTTTTTCTTCTTGTCTATTAACAATAGTCGAATAGAAAATAAACTCAGTTACTCTTCGGTGGTATTCTACTGGGTGTGGGGGGACTTTATCTTTATTTTAGCAAGTAAAGTAAAGCAAATAACAATAATATAAATTTAGTCATGATTTTTTAATCCGAAATCATACACTGACAATGGTGCAGCACATCAGAATATTTTCACAACCATCTCTCCAATGAATAAGTGCAAAATTAAGAAAATGTTGCTAACTTCGTTTAACAACAGATAGTACGTGTACACTTTTGAGATTTATTTTGAGATCATACTTAGGGGTGGATCATTTAACTTAACATAAAATTAGGTTAAGTTTTATTACTTAATACTTGACATTGAATTCATGTAGAATTAAGTGATGCACGTGAGGTAAATACCGTTGAGTTTCTTTTGTTTCTAACGAGAAGAATATTTTACAAATAATAACGATTTTGTATAAAATTTGACTAAAGGTTCTTGGATCGAGGAACTGGAATCTCTAATCAGTTTCTCAAAAGTGTGTATTTCATTTCTCCATGATGTTACCTCTACCACAAAGACGTTTAGTACAACTTTATAAAAAATTCTCATTTTCCATAAAAAGCCTTTCTTTAGTGAAAAAAATCAAGTGTACACTTTTGAGAAACTGATTAGAGATTCCAGTTCCTCGATCCAAGAACCTTTAGTCAAATTTTATACAAAATCGTTATTATTTGTAAAATACTCTGCTCCTTAGGAACAAAAGAAACTCAACAGTATTTACCTCACGTGCATCAATTAATTCTACATGAATTCAATGTCAAGTATTAAGTAATAAAACTTAACCTAATTTTATGTTAAGTTAAGTGGTCCATCCCTAAGTATGACCTCAAGATAAATCTCAAAAGCGTACAGGTACTACCCGTTGTTAAATGAAGTTAGCAACATTTTCTTAATTTTGCACTTATTCATTGGAGAGATGGTTGTGAAAATATTCTGATGTGCTGCACCATTGTCAGTGTATGATTTCGGATTAGAAAATCATGACTAAATTTATATTATTGTTATTTACTTTACTTTACCTTTTCAGATTAAAATAAAGATACAGTGCCACTCCTCAATCTGCTCTTTTCCACGAAAGAGTCGTGAGAAAATAAACGGATGGATTCCACCTTATCTC